ATTTTGAAATTAATTTGATTGTTATTTGTTTCATCACTTTTATAATTAACTTTTTACCTCTTTTAAATAAAGACTTTGATCAACTTTAGTATTTACTATATGAGGTGCTCATATGTTATCATGGGTTAAATTTTTTTTTGTTTTATCATTCCTTTTTTTTTAATTTTACCTAATTAAAAAAAAAAAATAAAAAACAAAAACAAAAGGAGGTGAACGTTGGTATCTAAATTGATCTTTTATTTTCACAAATATAAACTATATAAAAAAAAAATTTGTGCATGGAATCCATTTAATACCAAGCTTTAAACAAAAAAAAAAAAAGGGGATAAACACATATATAAATAAAAAATTAAATAAATAATAAAATATATACTTTTATATATATCACAAAGTAATATATTATATATATCATAGGATGGCTTGGGGCAAATAACTAAATTCGCTTTTGATCCATCTTTAATTTTTATTAAAAAAATTAATTTAAATTGATTTAAAATTGATTTTTTTTTACAAAAATACTCGTATCGAATTGAAACAAATAAAACTTATTAAATATTAATTATTTTGTCTTCTTATTAATCTTTTCATTTTGTTATAAATTTGATATAATTAAAAATAAAAAATAAATACAAAAGAAAATAAACAAACGGAACATCATGTGGGCACATCCATTAATATATATTTTTTAAAATATGATCTAATTAAAAAAATAAATAAAAAGAAAAATAACTTTTAAAAACCAAAAAAAAAATGTCAAATATTAATCGAGTCGAATTAAAATCTATTAAATATAAATTGGTGTACCTATCTATCAACTCATATGTTACAAATTTCATGTAATTAAAATAATAAAAATAAAAAAGAAAAAAAAAACCAAATTAGGTGTCGCATGGACATCTCAATTAATTTTTTAAAATAAATTTATCTTAAATAAAAAAATTACAAAAAAAGGACAAAAAAGTTTATTAAAAAAATAAAAGGAACATAAGGTGTCATGTTGAAATGAAACAAAAGTAAAAATAAGTAAAATCTATATAATTGATGGGTACATGCATGGATTACATTTTAATTATTTATAAATACAATATTTGTATTCCTTAAAAATGTAAAAAAAAAAAAAGAGTTTGATGCAAACTAGGATCCACTTTTAAAAAATAAAATCTATAATTATTTATTAAATATAAAAAATTAGGAAAAAATAGGGAAAATAAAAAATTAAAAAAAAGAGTGCCATGTGGTACCCCTTGTCATGTACATATAAAAGAAATAGGTTTAAGAAAAAAAAGCTTAGTATAAAGTGGATTTCATTTTTAAAAAATAAAATATATAAAAATATTGATTAAATATAAAAGAAAATAGGTAAAAAATAGAAAAAAAAAATTTAAAAGCAACAAAAAATAAAAGAATAAGGGGCAGACACTTCCTTGGTCATGTACTGTTTATGTGTACATGACTAAAATTTAATCTTTAGATGTGTCTTTTTACAAATACTTAATTCAAATTACATATAATCATTAAAAAAAAACCTTAGATAATTTAACAGCCTATGTATATATATTAAAAAAAACTTATAAATTTTTTATATATATTTAAAATTATTTGAATTTAATTTTTATTTTATCAACAAATTACACAATTGTTTATAAAATCTTATAGTTTCATTTTAGTCATATTGATATAAGTTTTATCTTATAATGTTTTATTTTGTTCTATTGAATTCTAAAATTTGTCAAATTCAAGCTTTTTTTTTTTTTTTTCATAAAAGAGACTATAATTAAAAAATAAAAAAATACAAATATTAAAATTTAAAATTTAAATTTATTAAATATTATTTTTTAAAATTAATTATATAAATTAATTGGATTAAATCTTACGTTCAAATTCTAACTAGTTTTGCACCTAGGGTTGGCATCGGGTTAGGTTTGGAGCGGGTTTTGCTCGCTCCGAACCCGACCCGACTTTATACTTTATTAAATCCGAATCCAACTTTATTCGAAATTTTTTTTGTTTTTTTATATCCAAATTCGATTCGACCTCGATACTATGTAAATCGTACCCGATCCGATCCGACCCGAAATTAATAAAATATTATTTTTTAAAATATAAAATATTACTTTTTAAATATAAAAATTTAAAAATATCATTATATAAAAATATATATAAATAAAAAATTAAATAATTAATTAAAAAAATTTTTTATATAATATCGGATCAGGTTTTAGGCAAACCCGAACCCAACCCGACCCGAAACCCAAATAAAAAAAAAATCGATCTCATAGGATCGAGTCGAGCCGAAACCCGTCGGAGATGGGTTAGTTTACCATCTCTATTTGCACCTAGCTAAAATACATAAATTTTACATTTTCACCATATATTAACCAACCAATAATTTAGTTATTAAATAAAGAAAATAGGATAGCAACATCACCAAAAAAAAAACTTAAAACAAAAAAAAAACACAATGTCAAGATTGTCTACCAAAATTAAAGCAAATAAATTTAAGATTTTTGGCAAATTTTAGCCATCTCAGTCACCAACTTGGAAAGAGACACTTTCTATCTAGGAAAATATTTTATCTTTCCAAAAGTTAAAAAAAAAAAAAAAATTTATCCAAAAGAAAAAAAATTCCTTCAAAACTTTTTTTTTTTTTTAATTTCATTTATGACTTTTATAAATCCTTCACATCTTCCCAATATTGTGTAGATTGCAATATTGGCTTTTAAAGATTCTATCAATTTTAGTTTCTATTGTTGCTTTGAGTTATTGAAATCTTGAATTTGTCAAATTCTATCTTTGGTTTTTTTTTTTTTTGGTTAAAAAACATACATTATTTTTTTTTTTTACTATTGTCGGTCCAATAATTTAGAATTTAGTTACTATGATCATATTATTATTAGACGAAGAAAATGAAACATGTGTAACATCATAAGAAACCAACTTAAATCACAAAGAAAAAACATCTTATTAAGATTGTCTACCAAATCCAAAACAAAAGGAGTTGATGATTGAGTAAGTTAGAGTTATCTATTTATCCATTTGGATTATTTTAAATTCAAATAATTTTTTATTCAAACAATTCAAATTTGAATTGTTTTAGCTTTTATCATTTTAAGTTTTTACTTTTTTTATTAAGAATTAATTTAGTGTTATTATTGTGATTGAAAGAAGTGTGAGCCATAAGAAAAATATTATTAAAAATTTTAAATATTTAATATTGTTATGAAAAAATGTTAAGAGTACTTAAAATATCTAAAAATGTATAAACAAATAAAATATTAAAAAAATTAACACTTCTTTACTACAAAACACATTTTAAGTAATTTTTTTATTGCAAAACTAAAATTTTAAATTGAAAAGCTTTTTTTTTTTTTTTTTTTGTTTAGCATTAATGTTGGATAAGAACAGTTTTTGAATGCAAAACTACTTTCATCAGAAATGCTAAATTAAGTTTTGATTTATTCAAGTTTCAATTTGTTTTGAATTTGCTGAGTTTTGGGTTAATTATAATTTCAACTACCAATCTATTTGAATTTAAAATTTAGATTTTATAGATTTTAGATCCAACAAATATCAAATTTGAATTTTTTTCAAATTCATATCTTTGAATATAGGGATTTTTTTTTATTTAAATTGTCTCTTAATCAATCTCGAGTGCACCTTGATGATTTTTGGAATTCAATTAGATTGTGAGACTTCTAAAAAGATTTAAAATTTAAGGTTATAGTAATTTAATATTAAATTAAAAGTTTGCTTGCCCTTAGACAAAATTTTTTTATTTAAATGCATTAGAAATTAAATTTTTACTCAATCCGGTGTTTAATTGGCTTTTTTTTTTATTTTTAAAAATTTTATGGATGTAAAACTTAATGTATCAAACTTAATTTTTTTTTACATACTTTTACTTTTTTATGAATAGATCCAATTTTATTTATATAAAAAAAACTTTGTTATTACGGATAAAATTTACATAAAATTTTTTAAATAAAAGTTATGAAATTTTTTTAAAAAATAATTTAATAAAATTTTTTAATAAAAAATTTAAATTGATAGATTGAGAAAATTTAATGAAAAGATCAATAATATGCAAAAAAAATATTTAAAAAACTAATTTATGATTCAAATTTAATTGATACTTATTTGACAATAAAAATTTTATCAATATTTTTATTAAAAATTTTTATCTAAAAATATATATAAATTTATTAAAATTTTTTAAATTTTACACACTTAATTTATTTAACAAAATTTTTTAATATATTAATTTTAATTTTAATTTTAATTTAATTGTTTTTAATAAAAATTTTTACAAATTTTAGCTGAAAATTTTTATTTAAATCTTTTCTTTGTTTAAGATTATCGTAATAATCTCTTTCCAGTTGCGTGTCCCATCAAGTTACAAATCCTCCAAGGAGTTTGGCAGTAGTTCCCACAATGTACCCAAGATTCACGGTTGGTCCCACAAATGAATCAGAATTCAGAACCACCAATTTTCAATCAAACGAATCAGGTCAGATCTCAACTTCATTTTCCACCACTGATAGTCTAATCACCCAATATTCGGTCCATACGTGTCTTAAACCAACAGATGATGGCATTATCCGCCGTCCTACTTATCTTCCAACCCTTCCACGTGTCTCCCGCCTCCCTTGTCTACCACTTTCGTGGACGTCAAAGCAGCCTTAGAAACAAAGAAGATAAAAATACAAAATCCTCTCATGTCATGCCTCGAGCCGAAAGGATCGGACACGTGAATTGTTCCTTCTGGACCACGTGTCTCTACCTCAATCGCTATCCTGTTTAAATCCTTTTGTTTACACCATAAAAACCGTGTTGCCCTGGAACTTTCACGCGCATCAACCAACCGTCCATCCTCTCATGAATCGATCAATCGTAACCGTAGCCCCTCAATTGCCCCTGCTTCCGCCACGTAGCGATGAGCCACGTGTCGAGAACCTAACGGGTTTTTAATCTCGTTTCTATAAATACTCAGTATCTTCATCCGTTTCAAATTGAACGCTCACATTCGAAGTCTGAAACGTATCCCAACTGAAAACTCGAAACCGAAAAAAAAAAGCAAAAAGGAAAAAAAGACAAAAAAAAAGCAAAAAAGAAAAAAAAACGTTTCTTTGAGGAACATTCACCCCCTTTTTCCTTTTATTCTGTTACATACTCGAAAAAAATTCAAAAAATGGCGTTGAATTTGGCACACCAGATTGGAGCTCTCGTCGGGACACAAATTCCGACTGAATTCACCACAGGAGAACAACCACCGTCGGCGACGACGAGTGCGTCGGCAGTTTGGAAAACACCGATGGTGAATCTCCGATGCAATGCCCAACAAAAAACTGTATCGCCACCTATGTTAACTCCACCGCTGACACCGCGCAGCGCCGGAAACAGGTCGCCTTTGATAAGCCCGACGCTGCGTCTGGACCTTTCAGCAACTTGCCAGGCCTACGCAACGTTAGCTCCGCCAGAGACGGCGGAAGGTGAGGAGGAGGCGGCTGTGGCGTGGAAGGAGGGAGATAGGAAGGAGAAGAAGAAAGGGGTTCCGGTGTACGTGATGATGCCGTTGGACAGCGTGACGAATGGAAACACGGTGAATAGGAAGAAGGCGATGAATGCGAGTCTTCACGCATTGAAAAGCGCGGGTGTGGAGGGGATAATGATTGACGTTTGGTGGGGGCTGGTGGAGAGGGAGGCGCCGGGTGCGTACAATTGGGGTGGCTACGCCGAGCTGCTCGAGATGGCTAAGAAACATGGCCTCAAAGTCCAGGCTGTCATGTCGTTTCATCAGTGCGGCGGCAACGTCGGTGACTCTTGCACGTTCGTATCTCCTTCTTACCTCTCATTTTTCTTTTGAAATTTAATGCTTCATTTTTTTAATAAGATGGTCATGTGACGTTATGCGATTTAGATTCAGATGATAATAAATATTAAATTATTTTTTTGGGAATTGGATGAATTTTGGAAATCAAGGAGAAAGTTGCACGTTTGATTCACTGTTGATTAAAAGGCTAAAGTTACAGGTGTGTGTTTGATTCTAATGGATACATAAATTGCCATGTCTAAATTAAATTGAAGTTTTTGAATTGAATTTTATAAAGTTAGATTTGGATTTTATCGCATTTTTAGTGTGATGCGATTGAAATCATTTTACCACTAGTTTAACCTAAATGCCAACTCCAGAATTATCCATTTAATATAAATTTTTTATTGATTTTTTTTTTCGATCGCAGCTATAATAACTCTTATTACTGTTTATAATCTCAGCGAAGCCAATCCTACAGACTACTCAAATGGGGCCTAAATAAGGAATAATATAAGCTACGTTGCGTTTTGTCTTTTTTAGATCATGGTACAAAATTAGATAGGAAGAAGGGACTATTTCCATGGAGGGTATGGTGGTTTCATGCCTCTCCATCTCTCCTGGTGGATCCCACTTGGCAGAGATATGGGTTGCATGAAAATGATCACACTCCCAAGTTGGAGATGCCAATTCCTATTTTGATATTGTCTTTTATTTATTTGGAAAGGTTGCATTAATCATTCAATCAAATGTTGGATGTGCTAATTTGAGATTCCTGAAGGTGATTGTAGTTTTGGAACTTGTGTAAGGAATAAACAAACATTTTTTTAAAACAAAAGTGGTTTTTTTTTTGTACAGTATTCCTTTGCCCAGGTGGGTTAGGGAAGAGATGGACAAGGATCCAGACATTGCATACACTGATCAATGGGGAAGAAGGAATTATGAATATGTTTCACTTGGCTGTGATACCATTCCTGTCTTGAAGGGCCGTACACCTGTTCAATGTTATGCTGACTTCATGCGTGCCTTTAGGGACAACTTCAAACATCTCCTTGGAGATACCATTGTGGTAATTTAATAATTACTCATCCCCTATTTTGTGTATGTTTTTGCAAATTTGTGTTTTGTTTCATATGCCATGAAAGCAATCAGCAGCTAAACAGTTGTCAATGTTTTCACTACAGGAAATCCAAGTGGGAATGGGTCCGGCAGGTGAGCTTCGGTATCCTTCATACCCAGAGGAGAATGGGACATGGAAATTCCCTGGAATTGGAGCCTTCCAATGTTATGATAAGGTATTTGGCATGGCAGTGATTTCTCTTTGTCTATTTTAGCTTGTGTGTTGCAGCTTTCTTCTTGTTCTCAACTAAAATTGGGTGTTGTATAATGTAGTATATGCTTAGCAGCCTAAAAGCAGCATCTGAAGCGGCTGGTAAGCCAGAATGGGGTAGCACAGGCCCAATTGACGCTGGTCACTACAACAATTGGCCAGAAGATACACCATTTTTCAAGAAAGAAGGTGGTGGTTGGAATAGTCCCTACGGTGAATTCTTCCTCTCCTGGTATTCTCAGATGCTAATAGAACATGGTGAGAGTGTTTTATCGTCGGCGACTTCAGTTTTTGAAGGTGCAGGCGTGAAGATCTCTGTAAAAGTTGCTGGAATCCACTGGCACTATGGAACCAGATCCCACGCTCCTGAACTCACAGCAGGTTACTATAACACAAGGTTCCGAGACGGTTACCTCCCTATTGCTCAAATGCTAGCACGTCGTGGTGCTGTTTTCAATTTCACTTGTATAGAAATGCGTGATCATGAACAGCCACAGGATGCCCTATGTGCACCTGAGAAGCTAGTCAAGCAAGTAGCTTTAGCTACTGGAGCAGCACAAGTTCCCCTTGCTGGGGAAAATGCACTGCCCCGTTATGATGAATATGCTCACGAGAAGATCTTACAAGCATCATCGTTGAATTTTGATGGCTCCTCAGGTGATAGGGAAATGTGTGCATTTACTTACTTGAGGATGAACCCTTCCCTCTTTCAGCCGGACAATTGGAGATGGTTTGTAGCATTTGTTAAGAAGATGAAAGAGGGGAAAGATGCTCATCGGTGTTGGGAGCAGGTGGAGAGGGAAGCTGAACATTTTGTGCATGTCACCCAGCCTTTCATTCAGGAGGCTGCTGTTACCCTTATGCACTAGCAAGGGGATCTTTTGCATACTGGTAAGATAGCTTAGTACAGAGTTCGATCAATAACAGTTCCTTAGGGATCATGCAATGCTGTAGCTTTTTTTTTCCTATGCTGTGGCTATCAAAATGTTTGTTGTAGAAGATGGAATTCTATGTACTTTGTTCGAATAGTTGAAACTCTTTCATTTTTCATAACATGATAATACATAATATATTGGACTATTTGTTCATCCTCTTTCTTTCTCTTATGTAAATGATGTCGAAGTTAAAATCGGACTTTCAGCACCCATTTTTATCTTCAGATGTTTGAACTGCTAAATTCTTCAGGTGTAAGCGTAATTTAGTTGATCTTAACTAGTATCACTACAAAATTGCCTAAAAGAGGAGGTGAAATAAACGATGTTTGAGACCAGATTATGCAGATGAAACATGAATTGCGCCGGACATCAGCCAAGGAAAGTCTTTTGAACTGCCACAGAAGGTGCAAAGTGGGAAATATCATAGTTGCAAAGAAATCACCATGTCCACTTCTAGATCAGACTCTCATCTCTTGCCTTATTTTTCAGATGGGACATCTGCTTTCTGCTATGATCTGTAAATAAAATAGTGTTTTAACATCAGATTGATTTCATTCTTGCTCGTTTGTTCCTCAAATTTTACAAGATCAAGGCATTCTAGATTAACCATTAACAAAAGGGCAAGCCCCGGTGCACAAGCTCCGTGCTTTGCAAAGGTTGAGGTGAGGGTCCGTGATATGCAGCTTTTCTTTTGCATTTTTTGTAGAGAAATCATTTTCAAGACTTGAACTCGTAATCTTTTGATCACAAAGAAATAATCTTATCATTAACGCAAGGCTCGCCGTCCCCGATTAACAATTCCAAAGCCCAAATTCAAATTTGTCTGATTGTTATATCATAAAGGCTACATATAGCAGCAATATATTATGTGACCTAAGCCACAAATAAAAGGCTTGATGATGCTTTGCTTGAAATTCAACTCTCAGTATTCCTTTTTCCACGTTTCTTTCCTTCTCTGAATTGACCTATTGCGTGGTTTATACTTATTCGTCCGACAAAATTTATCAATCAGATGTGACTTTCTCCAATCCTGATCTTTCTGTAGCAGGCAAGAGCTCTAGAGCAGTCTATAGTTTTGTAGTCAGGTGGCCATTATTTTCAGCCGCAACAAAAGTTTCACATGATTAACCTTTTCTGTTTTGGACAGTTATAAAATCACATGAAAAGGGGTTTTCCCGTCTTTATCTCAATCAGTGTCCTATGGCTCAAATGTTGAGACACAGACCACACAAAAAGCTAGGTAAGACAGAAAAGTAATGGCTGCAAAAATTTTGACGCCAACGCTGTTTGAAAGAATGCTCACGAGAGGGAAACAAGTTTTCACGTAATCTCATTCCGGTCTTCTATGTTCATGCACCAACCATTTGTTAGGATAAACACCGAAAATTTAAAATTATTATTTTTATAAATTTAAAATTTTTAGGTAAGGTTTTAAGACATGTAATAATATTACTTTCTTTGAAATTTTATTTATATTCATCATATTATTTACTTAGTAAATATATAAAAAGATTACAAGTAATAAACTTTAAGAATATAATAAAATTAAAAAATTAATTACGTTTTATACTGATGAAATTAATTTATTGAACAATCACCAACATATCACAATATTATTGATTTTTTATAAAAGTATTCTACAACAAAACTTTTATAAAAGAAATATTAAATTTAAAGAAATAGAGAGAGTTTCAAGAATTATTTTTTTATATATTTTTAAAAAAATCAAAAGAATCTTTTATAAACAAATAAATGTTATTTTCTATAAACATGACTGCCTATTTTAAATAGACAAAAATTATTTATTTTTTGAATAGTTGAAACTATTTATTTTGAACAGACTTATAACTCTGTTTTAAACAGATTTAACTATCTATTTTTATTTATTTATTTTCAATGTGAGATTATTTTTCATATTTTATTTTGTAAATCTCTAACAATCTTTCACTATTTTCAAAATAATCCAAATTTATGATGACCTTGAAAATCAATTGCATAAATGGAAGTATTTTCTAATTTAAACCTTCATTTAATGAAAACAAGTTAAAGTTAATTGAAATCGCATGAAAGACTGTTTTGAACTAGCTATTCCATTTGGTTAACCAAACTTGTCTCACACAATAATTTCAACAACCAATGAATGCTTGGTATTCGATAATACATTTATGGTCATGTGTTTACATTCTCTTTCATGAGTGCTGTTAGAGCCAAGCTCTTAAGTTTTTAGAAGTGGCAACATTTCACACTCACATAGGTAGCTCCTATCAAGAGTGTTCTCATAACTATAATACTATAACATATTTATATTATGAGTCTATTAAAAGTATATTACTCATCTTTCCTTTATCGTTTCATGTACCTAGCACTTTACCTAAGATGGCATTAAACATTACTATATGCAGTAGTCACATATAAATGATGTACTTCATCTATTGAATTTAAGACTTGATGTTATACCAAGCATTGAGTTGAGCCAATCCCTATTGAGGTCTTTTTTTATCAACTTTCTAGTAGGACTTTCGGTTAAAAGTCTGTCAAATTTTCACTTGACCTCACATTATTTATAATGATCACTCAATTTAAAATTAATTGTCGAACATAGTTATGTCTTAATCCAATATGTCTAGACTTTCCATTATATACTTGACTATATGCCCTTGTTAGAGTTTCTTCACTATCACATTAGATAGATTTTGGAGAAATTGGTTTAGGTCATAAAAGATACTTCATATAATAAATTTGTTAGCCATTTAGCTTTTTTAATTGTTGCAACTAATGTAATAAACTCGGCTGCCATGGTGGAATCCATTATGCATGTTTGTTTCTTAAAACCCTAAAAAATGGCACCCTTACCACGTACAAAGATCTACTCGCTTGTAAAAGTATGATATTTCATATTAGTAATCTAACTAGCATCAAAATATTCTTATATAATTGAAGGATATTAACTATAAAACAATCCATAATTGATTATTTTTTTTAAATATCGAAGTACTCTTTTAACTGTTACCAATGCAAGTTATTTGGGTTACTTGTGTACTTATTTAACTTTTTAATGCCAAATGCTATATATGGCCTTGTATAAGTCATTGTATACATCAATCAACCAATGACTCTTACATATTACAATTGATCGATTGTCTACCAATATTATATATTAATTTCAGTTAAGAATCCATAGGTATAGATACTGAAATACAATTGAAAAGATCAAACTTTTTAAGTACTTTTTTAA